ACACTGCGCTCTCCTATTATTAATATTCACAGAGATTTAATGAAGAAAAATAGATATATACCTACAATATAACCAATACTAAGTGGTTTACCCATCCAGTTCAATAAAAGCGGTTATTTAAAATAATTTAAGTATCTAAGACTAGAATCTTAAAAAACGCACAAGGCTCAGTGATTCACGTTTTTGCCGTGACGTAAGCGTACACTATTGAATAAATAAGATAAATTAAACTATATAGATATAACGGTGATAAACTATGACGTTTGTTTATTAATATTATGCACTGATTCAACACGGATCGGTAAAGTGTAAATGTAATTTTAAAGTTTTACCTTTTATTTATTTACTACATCTCTATCTACGTCTCTAAAGAGGACATTCGCTACCAGTTTAGCATTTGTATTTAATCAGTTAACCCTTTGAGTGCCGTGACATCGACATATCAGTTCAGTGCCCGCGTAGGGCACCGGTGACCTACACTGCAGTCAAGGGGTTAAGGCTAGGGGTAGGGGGGCGGAGACCCGTACTCATAAAAAAAACAATTTAACTGTTTTTTAATTTTTAAATAAACTACTACTAATTGAATAAGAACTGTCTGATGAACTCATCTTTGTTTAATACTTCACTATTTATTGCCTTTTGTTTATTTCACTTTTACACTAAACACAATTTTGCATATTACCCGAGTACAACAATGGCGGAGAATTTTAGGTGCGTGAGAGCAGACGTAGACACTAACACGTATGCGCACAGGGAGGAAAAGTTACACTTTCTTCCCAGTACAGCGGGACGAAAACCGAACTTCCGGCGTAGGTAGGAGAAAAAAGCATTCATTCCAACGTTTCTATTCCTACTACTATTAATTTTAGTTTTTTTTTTATTGCCCTTGTAGGTAGACGAGCCCACGGGCCAGTACTGCCACTGGCAGAGCCAAATCGCTGCCTACCGTTAAGTACTCTCCACAAGCCTCGTTTGAAGGACATATACATATGACTATGATTTAAGACATGTGTACATGACAACGTCTGCCTGTCAATGACATGACAGTCCCCTTTTTCGTCCCTAAGCCGCTCCAGATCCGCGATCGAGACTCAGGATAGATCTTGGAAAATAACTCAAAAGACATTCCTTCTTATTCTCGTAGTCGTAGTCATCGTGGCCTAACGGATGAGACGTCCGGTGCATTCGTGTTGAAGCGATGCACCGGTGTTCGAATCCCGCAGGCGGGTACCAATTTTTCTAATGAAATACGTACTCAACAAATGTTCACGATTGACTTCCACGGTGAAGGAATAACATCGTGTAATAAAAATGAAACCCGCAAAATTATAATTTGCGTAATTACTGGTGGTAGGACCTCTTGTGAGTCCGCGCGGGTGGGTACCACCACCCTGCCTATTTCTGCCGTGAAGCAGTAATGCGTTTCGGTTTGAAGGGTGGGGCAGCCGTCGTAACTATACTTGAGACCTTAGAACTTGTATCTCAAGGTGGGTGGTGCATTTACGTTGTGGATGTCTATGGGCTCCAGTAACCACTTAACACCAGGTGGGCTGTGAGCTCGTCCACCCACCTAAGCAAAAAAAAAAAAAACTTAGGTCGGTTAATTCATTTACAGATATTGTCAGATATCGCCCCGGAGAGGTCGCGCACGTGTATCAACATGTGAGTTCGCTCAGTTCGCTGTACAACTACAGTATAATTTATTGAATAAACAACCCGCATCTCGACTTTGCGCTTTCATAATTAACTGCCAATGTGTGTTGTGAGACAAAGAATTCATTTTCATTCTAGTTCCTGTAACGGTCGAATAGTGGGGACGTGTTTAGAGGAAGTTGTGAATCTTTTCTCTACCAAATCCTTGGTAGCTCTAAGAGCTTTTTACTGGTGGTAGGACCTTTTGTAAGTCCGCGCAGGTGGGTACCACCACCCTGCCTATTTCTGCCGTGAAGCAGTAATGCGTTTCGGTTTGAAGGGCGGGGTAGCCGTTGTAACTATACATGAGACCTTAGAACTTATATCTCAAGGTGGGTGGCGCATTTAAGCTGTAGATGTCTATGGGCTCCAGTAACCACTTAACACCAGGTGGGCTGTGAACTCGTCCACCCATCTAAGCAATAAAAAAAGAGCCTAAGAGAATGGCTAACAATGTCCCTAGCAAGAGCAATGCTTCGCTGAATCAACTACCGGATCGGAATCGCGACCCACTGAGAAAATCCGTCGAGAAACTCAGTGGGTTACGTCTATGAGGAAGTTGTGATTCCAGCTTTATCACTCATGATGAACAATAGACCGAGAATTATACGCTATATAAAATAGACCACTTTTTCGCTGTAGGTACGTTTGTTTATATCTCATGACGTCATATTAATAATATTGAGATAAAATCGTGTACAGTTTGTAAACAGACCGACGAGGGTCAATGTTAGTACAGATCGCGTTTTATTAATATCAAAATACAACGCCAAAAACAAAAAACAAAAATATATTTTTTCTCAGCGATGATACTTTTAACTAACGCCATCTAGTTTCAAAACAACAAAACCATAGTTTGTTTGGTCGTTATTCACAGAATTTCCAACTTTGCCTGTCCAGCTTTACGAACGATATTCCTATGAATATGATAGCTAATGAGTAATAGTACCTAAATTCCAAGAAGACCAGACAAACAATAGATGCGTTCAATTCTGTCATTAGAGTTTACTTGAAAGCTATAATTGTTAAATAAATACCAGTCCCTGATTGTTAATATGGGTGTTTTCAGTTAATGATGTATTTTTTTTATTGCTGAGATGGGTGGACCAGCTCACAGCCCACCTGGTGTTAAGTGGTTACTGGAGCCCATAGACATCTACAAGGTAAATGCGAATTTGAGATATAAGTTCTAAGATCTCAGTATAGTTATAACGGCTGCCCCACCCTTCAAACCGAAACACATTACTGCTTCACAATAGAAATAGGCGGGGTGGTCGCACCTACCAGTGCGAACTCACAAGAGGCCCTACCACCAGTAACTAGTAATTGTTGGATAACTGCATAATGAAGTCACTGTAGCCTAAAAGATAAGACGTCTGTGTGCTTAGTGCGAGTTTTGTAATGTTCTCGATAGCGTAAAAGTTAACTCAAAATTGTATGGAGTTGGAACGTTTGCCTACTTCTGCCGCTAGGGGCGCTTTTCCAACTCCATACAAATTTGCGTTAACTTATACGCTATCGCAGTGATTCTCAACCTTTTTTTTTGTTGCGGCACATAAAAAAAAGATAAAAATTATTTACTTACTACAACACACTGCATAAATAGTTTATCAAAAAATTTTAATATACGAAATAAACTAAAATATACTATAATTATTTTTTTTGTGGATTTAAATATATATACATGTTTAAAATATTTTTCTTTTAAAATGATATAATTTAATAATATTATTAAATTTAATAATACATATTAACATTATTATATATTCGCAACATTTGGCGGCACACTTTTGAAATTTGGCGGCACACAAAAGTGCCGCGGAACAGTGGCTGAGAATCACTGCGCTATCGATTAGATTAAGACGACTTTGGAATCCAGCATCAATGTCGCTATCCACTGCGCGGAGGACAGAAGCGAATGGAGGAACATAGTCCCAACAAAAGTGCTCAGTAAAGGTCACGACCCTCAGAACTGAGGAATACGACGCACGGAGGAGGAGGATACGCTATCGAGACCGTTAAAAACTGGCTCTAAGCACACAGACGTCTTATCTTTTAGGCCACAGTGACACTGGTGAAATCGTATTTAACGAAGCGACTGCGTCGGTCTTCGAATCCTGAGATACACATTGTTCTACTCGTAATCATATACCCGCTTAACTCATGTTAATGAACATCTTGCAAGATGAATGAATCAATAAGGTATCATATATTAACGGCCGTCTGGTGTAGTGGTAAGTGACATGGTCACTACACAAGGGGGTCGCGGGTTCAAATCCCGCCAAGGGAATATATTTGTATGATAAATATAAATGTCTTTTCCAGGGTTATAGATGTATATTAAATATATGTATGTGTATAATAAAAATCTTACATTTATATCCGTTATCTGGTACCTGTAACACAAGTTCTTTACGAACTTATCACGGGACCAGTTAACGTGGCGTGATTGTTAGTAAATATTTATTTATTTATTGCCTACGTAACTAAAACGCGCGGTTTATAAATTTGCGTCATTACTGGTGGTGTTAAAGGAATGAGGGGAAAGAAGATTCAGGCATGTGCAAATATCTTGCTTTCTGTGATAACTTCAAAGGCAAACTAGTTCCTTCTACATTCCATATTATGGTTTGCGCCACGGTAGGAATACATTTCTGCCATCATTACTACTAACACAACATTTCAATGTGTTTAGTGTGAGTTTTTTTAACTTCTCTATCGCGTAAAAGTTAACTTACGCAGTTGGGACGTTTGCCTACGTTTGCCGCTGGGGGCGCTGTTCCACATATCCGAGTTAACTTTTACACGATCGAGAAGTTAAAAAAACTCGCACTGAGCACACAGTGCGGTGATACTTACACAATAGATATCGAACAGAATTTACAGTTTAATATAATTACTATATAACGTAATTTTCCTTAATACCGACATTATCCTCGAATTAGCTAATGTTTTAGCTTGGCCCGTGTAAATAATTTTTAATTTAGATAATATCATTGGCGGTTGAACGAACCCATAGGCATTGCGACGTGTTTACCGCCACCAAGCTTGAGACGTGGGGTTGAGGTCTCAAGGAACGCTGCTGTCCATTCTGTGATGACACCCTTAGTCGACTCATGGCATCGACGGGAAGATTTTTTTATTGCCATCGCCCATGGACATCAGCATCAGCAATACCAGGGACAGAGCCGAGCCAATGCCTACTATAAAAGATATCCAGTGGTACTTTTCTACGCCGAGAGCACATATCCAAATCTAGAACCCGGCAGACTAGCAAGCTATGTTACACAAAAATCAAGTTCACTCACATTCTCCTTGTCCACGTGCAACTGGTTGTAGCTCTTCGGCGGACTCTCCCTCGTCAGGACCTCGCATCGATTCCTGGTTCTTTTCGTCTCCGTCCAAAACTTCCTGGTCATGTTCTTCTTCAAGCTATCCTCTATGTTCTCTGTCGACCTTGACAGCTTCAAGATCGGTTTGAGCGCATCCGTCTCTCTCATTGGCTGGCTAGGATTCTCGAAATTCTCCCGGAGCTTGAGGAAGTCGCTTTTCGTGCTCGCCGGCGAATCCGGGCGAGTTTCCTCGGCTGGTACGTCGTAAATCACCTCGTCCTAAAATTAGAGATGCAAGAGATTAGATACAGAATAGAGTCTACCTTTACTGGTGGTAAGACGTCTTGTGAGTCCGCACGGGTAAGTACCACCGCCCTGTCTATTTCTACCGTGAAGCTGTAATGCGTTTCACTTTGAAGGGTGGGGTAGCCGTTGTACTGTTACATCTTACTTAGCATCTGGTGGGCCGTAAGCTCGTCCGACCGTGAGCGACCTAACTGATGTTGAGTGGTTTTGGAGTCCATAGACATCTACAACGTATATGCCGCCACCCACCTTAAGATATGATTTCTAAGGTCTCAGTATAGTTACAACGGCTGCCCCACTTTTCAAACCGAAACGCATTACTGCTTTACGGCAGAAATAAGCGGGATGGTGGTACCTACCCGTGCGGACTCACAAGTGGTCCTACTATCAGTAAATGTTAAAAGTCATGTATGGGGGGCATAAAAATTTCAGAAATGTTACAGTGGTTCATGACACAAAAAAGTTTGGGATACACTGGTCTAGATTGTGCTTATGACATTTTTTATTTTACTTTATTTATTTATTAATTTGCGAGTATATTTTCGAAAGGTGAGGGCGTTAAAAAGGTATTGAACCCCGGACGCGAGTTAAGATCGCAGAGCCACTGCTTCTGACGAATAGCGCCAGAGTTGCAAAACCTCACCTCTTTGTATGCAATGACGTCACACAATGTTGTGCTGGAGACATTCTAGTAAACCTCCGGAGGTCAACAAACTAATGATATACCTAAAAATATTATGTGCGCTTTCACTGGAGTAAATGACATAATTAGGGTTGAAACGCACATTATTTTCAAAATATTTTTTTTTGTTTTTTGTTTATTGCCCTTTTAGACAGACGAGGATAACAACGGATGGAGACTGGTTACCATCGCTCGTGGACTTCAGCAATGTTAGAGGCAGAGTTAAGCCGCTGGCTACCGTTTCTTAGTACATTTACCAATACCAGCGGTGACACATATCTAAATTTCTCCCAATTCATTGCTTGAGTTGTGACTGTTTCTAAATTTACCGGTGGTACCTTTTTTTGCTTTACTTATAACGCAACTTCTGAAAATATTAACGAATCTTGCTGCAACATACCTTATCTATTATAGTAATTATTTTACTAGTACTACACAAAAAGATTAACCACATATCGAGGGATGAAAGGTTATTTCGTTACTCGTGGTAGGACCTCTTGTGAGTCCGCACGGGTAGGTACCACCACCCCGCCTATTTCTGCCGTGAAGCAGTTATGCGTTTCGGTTTGAAGGGCGGGGCAGCCGTTGTAACTATACTGGGATCTTAGAACTCATATCTGAAGGTGGGTGCAGCATTTACGTTGTAGATGTCTATAGACTCCAGTAACCACTTAACACCAGATGAGCTGTGAGTTCGTCGACACATTTATATGTGATAAAAAAAAAAAAAAAAAAATTGGTTTAAGCGACATTTCGCTTAACACGCGACATTTATCTTTGTAATTAAAGGTGCGTTTTATTTGGTATTAGCATTGACAGTTCGATGTTTTTAATTGAACTTGAATTAAGTTTACCCAATTCAAATTGCTGAACAAGTTTTTTATTATGATTTTTTTTCAATTCTAAATTTTAAATGGCTCAGCTGTATTTCTCCAAAATTTTAAACTTCAAGTGGCTCTCCTACAAAGTTGCAAAAATGTTACTTAAACCAAATAGTCTTTCACCACTCGATATATATTATATAAAATAATTGGCACTATAAACAAGTATTTGTGGGTGTTTGAATTGTAAGACACTTTTTTGTAATTTAAACTCAATATTCAAGAGTCCTATACACATTTCAAACAAATTTGTTATGTTGGAAAGGGACGGAGATTCCCGATCATCATCAGTCGGAACACATCCCACATATTTTTATATAGTTTAAAAATATGTCAAAACTAACTTAAGCTATAAAACAATTAAAAAAATATTATTAATAAAACAAACGTTTGACAGCCCTGTACTTATAGCACTTGTTCGAGGCGACAATTTGACAAGTAGAAAGCTGTAAGTATACCGTATTTGAAAATGCAATTTTACTGTTAAACAAATTTTGTCTTAGTAGCTGTGTCGCATTGTCTAAAATATTATTTTTTCGGTTTTCTCGATACGTTATGGACTATAATTAAAACTAAAGTTAAGGTCGCGCGTGTTAGTTTAATTTTCAGTTTCCGCGTCCATTCCGATCCGGTAGTTTCCTCGCCGAACCCATCGCTTGCGACGAAGGGCTCGGCGAGTAAATTAACCCACAGACACAGCCCACTGAGTTTCTCGCCGTAGTTAGTAGGTCAGTAGGTCGCGTTTCCGATCCGGTGGTAGATTCCACGAAGCCCTGCTCTTGCTAGGGTTCGTGTTAGCAACGTCGTCAGGTTGAGCTCCAGGAGCTCACCGAGATAGATGGACGAACTCACTGCCCATCTGGTGTTAAGTGGTTAACGGAGCCCATAGACATCTACAACGTAAATGCCGCAACCCACCTTGAGACATGAGTTCTAAGGTCTCACTTTTTTAACAGTACAACGGCTGACCCGCCCTTCCAAGCGAAACGCATTACTGCTTCACGTCAGAAATAGGCAGGGTGGTGGTACCTACCCGTGTGGACTCACAAGACTTCCTACTACCAGTAACCATTCTAACCTCCCGCCACCATCACGAATACACCACACTACTTAAAACCGCTTCTTCATCCACAATGCGTTTCCAGGGACTATTTTTGCCACACACCGTCCACTAGTCTGGAATGAGCTTCCTTCTATGGTGTTTCCTGAGCACTGTGGACGTATCCTTCTACAAATGTGAGTGCTCAGAGGTAATCAGTAACTTGGATGCGCATTTTTGTCGTCCATGAGCGATGGAAACCCCTCACAACCATGTGGGCAGTACGTTAGTCTCCCCACCTGATGGTAATAGACACAATCCATACATTTTATAATCGCTCAAACCAATAAAACGTATCATCCAACCACGATTGCCCCGTTATGCGAATAACAAACATAGCGCCCTGATAATAAGGATGTCGAATATTTTTTTTAACAATATAATTTATTCATCAAAGAATATTACAGTAACTGGGTTTACGGAGACTTCGGTCTCTATGTTTTTTGTACCGTATGCTCCCTTACTTTGACGAAATGTCTAACGGCTGGACCTATCTATTCCTAAAAACTGAAGCCGGTGCGTACATACACTATTCGGCTCTATAGAGAATTTTCAACACCAGCCGACACGACCTTGGTAGTAAGCTACTCTCCAAACTACCAAACATTTTAAAAACTTTTCTCAGAATGTACAAAATGAAAAACTGTTTTAACAAATAATAAAAATAATAAAACTCACAGGTGACGTCCCTATTGTAATAAAATTTAGTTTCACAATATTAGATTTGCGGTTTGTGCGGTTTGCAAGTGCTCTTATACACGATATGATATTATTACAATTTTCTCACGGGCGTTCGTGTTTAAATTTACCGGTAATAAAATATGTAGTTTGTTATAATATATTGTGAGATTCCTTAAAATGAGATTACTGTGTATGTTTTCATTGTCAAAAATTTAATAACATTTTATTTATTTATTGTATATATGGGTGGATGAGCTCACAGCCAACCTGATGTTAAGTGGTTACTGGAACTCATAGAAATCTACAACGTAAATGCCGCCACCCACCTTGAGATATAAGTTCTAAGGTCTCAGTTACAGTTACAACAGCTGCCCCACTCTTCAAACAGTGGAACATTACGAGTCTGTATGACGCTGGCCATGGGCCATACGGAAATCAGCTGTTCAAAACAGGCATTACATACAGTGCTTGGAAGACAACGGTAGACAAGAGAGATGATCACATGCTCTTTGAGTGCCCGGAAGTGGCCAGTTGACTTCATTCCTCGGGTCACATTCTCCAAGGTTAGTTAAATCCCTAGAGAAGCTCCTACGTTGCTCTTGCCATCTCACTAAAATAGGCGAAGCTTTAAGACGACGCCTTGCTTGAAGCTGCTCATTTAATCCCTCATTTTCAGATATCAAAGTTAATAATAAAACGTATATGTAGATATAGGACATACTTCCACTTAAATCCTTTCTGATGGAGATCTTGAAAGCGTTTAGCTGGACGAGCTTATGAATTGGATGAATTTTTAGTTGGAGCTTTAGTGGACGGTAACCTAGTTCACACAGCAAAACTTTTCCCCTTAATATAGACGTTCGCGAAGGAGTTACGCACCTAGAGATCTTAATGGAACGTAACCAGATCCTCGATTCAACCTAGCCAATTAATACTGTAGACCTCGTGCAATTAACAACAATTACTAAAGTTTAACCTAATTTTGGTGCATAGAGACAGCAGCGTGAATGTGATATGCACTAAAGTTTTGTCTAAATTGTCTTATGGCTGTCCTAAGCTTGAGACCAGAACGCATGGCAGCATCGTGGTAAAAATATGAAATTAAGTTTTTTTTTATTGCTTAGATGGGTGGACGAGCTCTCAGCCCACCTGGTGTTAAGTGGTCTTTGGAACCCATAGACAATTACAACGTAAACGCGCCACCCACCTTGAGATATAAGTTCTAAGGTCTCTCACTATAGTTACAACGGCTGCCCCGCTTTTCAAGCCGAAACGCATTACTGCTTCAAGATAGAGATAGGCGGGGTGGTGGTGCCTACCCGCGCGGACTCACATGAAGTCCTGCCACCAGTAAATGATAATCCCATGGGTTTACAGTCCGTTCTGTCACTAATTAATGTTGAAGATTGCAGGACGCAGGTATATTCAGAGAATGCCTGAGGTGGAGTAAAGCTAATGTAGGGTGCTTCCCCATTCGAGGCATAAAGGATAAGATCTCAGCGAATTCTTGAGGCATATGAACAAAACGTAACGTAATATTGGGTACTCCAGATTAAATAAACAATAAAAGTCTTAATTGCGTTTTCTGATAAATGTATAATGAGAAAAAAACATTCAAATCCCTTAATCT